TTCAAATAATATATTAAAACAATAATTTACCAAAAAAAAACAATAAAAAAAGCATTTCAATATTTTGCAGATCCACCTTTCTTAAATAAGGATTGAAGAAAGCAATTATCTAAAATTTCAATGTTTCTATCAGCATTAAGTCAACCTTCAAATAATTAATAGCATTTAAGTCCTGCATAAATCATGTAGGCCCAAAAGTCTACACTGCCATTACCTTGCTTGGTTGGTTTTCATGTACAATTCAAATCAAATTACTCTTGAGGTGATCACCGTAGCAGAACACGAAGCAATAACATATTTTTGCATATCTACCTCAACATTCATTTTGTCTGAGAATATAACATTTCACCACTTGCTGTCGTGTTTCATCAAGCAAATTAATTTTATTAACTAAAAACGTTTATCTCATTGTGTTGCCCACCAGATTATCCAGATCCATAATGTCATCTGTTTCAGTATAAGGTTTTCAAATATGTGAATATTCAATATTTAACTTATTGGCTATTTGACGAGGAGATAATTCTTGGTTTTAAATAAAAATAGATTTGTAACATGTTTTTTCAGAGAATCTCAACCATGATTTTGAAGTTTCATGCTGTATTACTTCACTCGTTATAAGGCTTTTTCAATATCTAATTTCTTTGTGTTTTCATCAGTACTATTTCAAAATTAGAAAATGCTAGTGAAAATCAAATTAAATTATTATGCTAATGAAAATCAAATTAAATTAATAAAAAAAATATTACATTAATTTTAAAAATAAAGCAGTAAGCAATAATTATACATATATATATATATATTATACATATATATATATATTTATACATATATATATATATAATTATACATATATATATATATATATATATATATATATATATATATATATATATATATATATATATATATATATATATATATATATATATATATATATATATATATATATATATATATATATATATACATTTATATACATATATATATATATATATATATATATATATATATATATATATATATATATATATATATATATATATATATATATATATATATATATATATAGTATATATATATATATATATCAGGCCTTGTTTTAAAGCGTTACGCCTAGAGCGATTTACGTCTTAAGCGCTTTTTACGTACGCGTAGAGCTGTTTTGGTTAAGCTACTTTTTATCATTTTTTAACTTTTAAATTAACGGTAACATAAAAGAAGTAATTAATTTTCAAAAAAACCACATTAACTTTTAAATAACGATATGTAAAGGTATTTATTAAAAAAAAGAATTTACTTTAAAATTAATTGTTGTAACTTTTCATCGCGATATATCTTTCCTTCTTATAGCTTATTATAATTAATTTGACGCTAAACTTTTTATCCAAATATTTAGCAACATGAAAAATTGTTTGTCAATCCTTAACTACAAATTTTTTGGAACGTTTTTAATAAAAAGTAGTAAAGTTTTTAGTAAAAAACTTTTAAAAAATCTATATTCTATATTTATTAATACAGAATATAAAAGTTTTTTGTAATATAGATTTTTTATGAATTTTTTACTGAATAAAATATAATAAAAAACATTTGCAAAAAAATTTGTAATTAAGAATTGACATTTTTTTAAATAAAATCTCAAAAAATGTCTTAATATTTTTGTTATCATGATAACAAAAATATCAAGACATTTTTTCGAGATGTTAAAAAAATGTCTTTGCTTTTCTTATTAGTTTAATAGTATATAGCTTATAGTTAGTTTAATAGTATATAGCTTTTCTTATTAGTTTATTAGTATATAGTTTAAGTTATGCGGGGGGAGGGGGTCGGCACAGAAAAAAAAATTACCTGTTACTCGCAATATTTGAATGAAGACAATTTGTTAAAATTCTTCTGTATGCGATTCAATAAGTTTTTTTTGTCATAAATCAAGTTATAATATAAGGTAAAGAAATCATGAGTAGACTACAACATCCGCTGATGACACTAATATTACGTTGAATATATTTATATAACGGAGGTTTTATTATGCACGCGCACATTACAGATTCCGTTAAATAAATACTAAGGCACGATTTAGTTTAATGACAGTCTCCATTTTTTACAAATGAATATGTATTTTTCTTTATAAAACAAAACAAACTAGTATATAAAAACCTTGTATATTTCTATTATCTCTAAATTATTTAAAGTTCGAATATGGATTGTATTTTGAAGGACAAAAGATTTACTTTAAAAACTTTTAAATCTTGGGACTTTGCCGATGCGATGATCACAGAAAAAGAGAAGACTTACGTTATTAAAATCAAATGTAAGTTATGTGATCTTCATCAAAATAAAATATTATCCAAAAACAATAGTGCCGTAAAGGCAACTGCCCAACAGTTTATAAATAATACAAGTCATGTTAAAATATTTTAACATGTTACTATATTTTAATTAAGTTGATATATAATTAAAAATAAAAATATAGTTCAATAAATAAATTAAATTTATTCTTAACAAAGATTACCTCATATTTATTCTTTTTTTTATTTTATTAAGTTAAATTGCTTACAAACGAAAAAAAAAAGAGTTTTGTAATTATACGTAGAATGAAAATACTTTTGAGTTTGTTTATAAGTTAAGGAACTTAATTTTTAATAAACAAATTTTTACGAACGTTTATTATAAACAGATACGATTCAAATTATTAAATATACTTAAATTATTTCAGTTGAGTATTTTTATAAGTTTGCACGATTAAAGTTTGGCGTACAAGTATTTGTTTTTTTGTTTTAAGAATAATTAATAAAAGAGTTTGCATAATTAAGACTTTTATATTTAATTTAATTTTTTTTTAATTTCCTAAAATTAAAAAAAAAAAAAAGATTTAATCGTTGAAAACGATTTTTCTCTATAGCTCTGTTTCTTTGTGATTTGTTTAAAAAGTTAAATATTTTTACAATAACATAAAAAGTTTATGAATTAAATTCCTAGCGAACGCGTTCTAAACTACGTATCAAAAATACGCTTCAAAGCAGACAAAACTTTTTTATATTTTTATAAAACGCAAGTTGAAACGCTTTTAAAAATTTAAAAAAAATTTAAAAACTTAAATTTTTCTTTGCTAGTCAAAACAAAATCGTTGTTTAAATAATTAACATGGGTTTGTGTTTATCAATGTTAATATTTTTTGTTTACTCTAGAAATTTTAAAAATAAAAAAAATCATTATTATTTTTTATTCAATAACGATTAAAAACAATTATTCAAAAACAAATTTCAGAAATAATTAATATATATATATATATATATATATTTTTTTTACTAAATAATATTGAACTAAAATTAATAATAAAATAACAATTGAAAACATTACAAAATTTTCATAATAAATTTATATTTAAAACGTTTATAGTTTATATTTGAGTTAATTGTTAAATTGAATTAGTTTGCGGTTATTTATTTATTGCGGTAGTTAAAACACTTAACGCCTATAAAAAAAAATAAAGATAATTTTATGACGTCAAAATCGCGTTAAGCTAATGCATTAAGCACTTTTTTATTTAAAACAAGGCCTGTATATATATATATATATATATATATATATATATATATATATATATATATATATATATATATATATATATATATATATATATATATATATATATATATATATATATATATATATATATATATATATATATATATATATATATATATATATATATATATATATATATATATATAATATATATATATATATACTGTATTGTATAACATAGTATACTATGCTTGGACATATATTATTATTTTTAATATTTTATTATTTTTCAGAGTTTGATTTGTATGCATTAATTGTGTTTGCATACAATTGTTGTAATCGTGTTGTAATATAATATGCACACAAATTTATTGCATACAAATTGTATATAATATATAGTTAAATGATTATGATATATTATAAAAACTATATTTTATAGCTTATATTACCTATATTATAAAAACAAATATAAATTAAATGCTATATAAACTATGTAACATAAAACATTTATATTTAACTTATATATAAATATTTTATCTTACATACTTTATAAGTAACTTGTGAACTTTTAAGCCTTTTTTTTTTGCATTTATAGTATAGTCATTCACATATAATAATATATTATATATATATATATATATATATATATATATATATATATATATATATATATATATATTATATATATATATATATATATATATATATATATATATATATATATATATATATATATATATATATATATATATATAATATATATATATATATATATATATATATATATATATATATATATATATATTATATATATATATATATTATATATATAATATATATATATATATATATATATATATATATAAATATATATATATATATATATATATATATATATATATATATATATATATATATATATATATATATATATATATATATATATATATATATATATATATATATATATATATATATATATATTAGCTATATACCTTAATATAAATGTATCATTCATCTACAAAAGTAGTGTTGGGTGAATTCTATTTTTGTTCAGAAAAAAATTGAATACTCAGATCTGAAAACAATATCAAATCAAGATAAGACTATTCGAAATGAAAAAGTGAAAATTATTAAATTGTATCGCTCAGATTTTTAGAAAAACAGTTTTGAAAATGTAAACAAATCAGGTTTTTAACAGTCAGATAAATGTAGCAGAGAATCACAGTTTTTTATATATTTAAACATCTTTATATTGTTTTTATCATTTTTGAATCAACAATTCAATTATCTTTATTATTATTTCATTCTATCAAAAATATGCAAATAATAACTACTAAGTAAAACTTTAAAAATATTGTTGCTACTCAGAAAAAATTTTGGTATCTAAAGGCCGTCACCATCTTTAAAATTATAATATTTGAATTTGACACTGCGCTTGCGTATAATAACTTTCCACCGTGCTTATCAGAAGATTAATCGCCAAAAAATAAACATTACGTCACCTAACTTTACGCTATGGAATCATGTTTCTACCAGGAAAAAGTCGCACCCACGTGATGAAGAAATTAATGAAATACAACAGTAAAACACAACCATTGCCTCAAATATTCTTTAAAGGCAAATAAAAAAAGAAAAGGTATATACTAAATTATAAAAATGTTTTATGAATAATACGGATGTAATTTTATTGTTATAATGTTTAGCTTATTATTGTTTAGTCAAGCATATCAAAATTGTCTCAAATAATATATTTTATTTAATCATTAACTAATACATAAACTTATAAAATAAAAAAAGATATAAATTTAATATTATTATATTTGATTAATAATTATTAGTAGTCAAATACAAGTATTTGCATTTGACTCGAGCAGCTTTAAATTTTCTTATAGAAAGCTTTTTATCTTTTTTTTTTTGCGTTTTTCCATCTTGATACCCCTCAAATTTTATTCTAAAAATTATAGTAACTGTATTTTGATTTAGGAGTTTAACTCTTTTCATGAGTTTTGATTTTATTAAAATTCATGAATAGAGTTAAACTTTTACCCACTTTTATTCTAATCAGCTAACACAGCTACATCTGCTTACACAGTTTTTGGAAACTTTTACAAACTACTTGCAATCAATCAATCATATATATATTCTGAAAATATATTTTCAAGGCTATTTACAAATAGTATTGAAATACTAATCTCAAGTAAATACCTAAAAAAAAAGTTATATATATACAATTAATCTTAGTAATGATAATATTAATAGTAGTAATAATAATAATAACAATAATAATAAAGTAATTATAATAATTTAAATAAATCGGTATTACTTTCCATACAGCAATCATTTTTACATACAAAGTTACAGTACAAACAGTAATAAACTGACAAAACGTAACAACTAACGATGACATAAAAACGACTACTGCTAAAAAAATTATCAAGATTTAGTAAATATATTAATATAATCATAGCTGTTAAAATAAAATAATCAAAATATATTGCAAATATTATGACCAAATAAATAATTAAAATATAAACAGAAAAACACTGAGGAAATCAAAACAAAACAAGTTACAACAAACATCACAAAACAAAACAAAAACTATGCAAAATAAATAAAACAAACAACAACAACAAAAAAAAACTTAAAATTTAAAATAATAATTATAATACACAGTAGAATTAAACATATATATATATATATAAATAGCTAAAATGAAAATAAAAACAAATAATATATAATAGTATAAAAAATTTATATACCACTAAAAATAAATAATAACTAAAAAACAAGCAAATGACTAACAAAAAATAATAAGTAAAACTATATACGCTAAAAAATTGAAGAAAAATAAATAAATAATACTAAGAAATGTATGAAAGAAAAATAAATAAATAATACTAAGAAATGTATGAAAGAAAACTAAAAAAATGTATGAAAAAATAAATAAAAATCTTGATTTGTCGATTGAGGTTCCGCTCTTTAAATGGTTGTTTTTTTTTCATTCTTTGCCATTGTTTTAATATATTTCATTCATTAACTTTTTTTTTTTCAACTTCTATTTTTGTTACTTTTTCACTTATTTTCTTCCAAACATTTCTTTTTCTTTTCTTCTTTTAAACGATTTATTTATTCTTCTTTTTTGTTGATTTCATTTTTATTTTAATTTATAAATGTTTTCTTTTCTTTTTTACTTTTTAAAAAGATATTTTTCAACGGTTTGAAAAAAGCGTCCACCATTTGCGATGTCATTGCAAAGCCTTGCAGCTATTCTCTTTTCTAGATAACATGATAAATTCCATAGTTATCAAAAAGTGGCATAAAAAAGTCTATTATCTTTAATGGTTTGTTCAATGGTTTTAAATTTATTATTATTATTTCTCTTAGCAAAATAGTTCAAAGTATTTAGGTATGTTACAAAAAAAATCAAAAAAGCGAGATATTAAATTCAAAGACATCATTAGAAGCACTTTTTAGTAACTAAAAAAAAAATACCTCACTTTTTTTCTCTCAGTTTTTCGATGTTTCTCTCAGTTTTTCGATGTAAATGGGCGTACTTGAGGGTTAATACAAAGTGTGTGGGGAAGGGAAGGCAAGTTGGGGGGGGGGGATTTTCAAAATAATGTTTTTATATAAAACAAAGAAACAAATACTAGAAATTATAAACCGGTATCTAATAAAAAAAAAATAATTTTATCTAAAAATGCCTTTATTATATAATAAAGTATTTCTTGATGCTTTTTGATGTTTTGTATATATTACAAAAATAGTTATAAAATAATCTCGAAGAAGTTTGCTTACCATTCTTTAACTTGCTTACCATTCTTTAACTTCATTTTTTCAAGTTTACCATAATAAACTTCTGCATTTGAGAGTTAAACCATATATGGTAAATGTTTCTACCAACAACTGTATCTGATAGCATATCTGAGAGGTCTGATAATTGATTAGACTCTAGTTCTTGAATTGCTATTAAAATATCTGAAAAATTAAGGTTTTGAATTTGAAGAGCCAATATTTTTCGGTTTTTATCCTCTATTTTTTTGCTTCTTTAACTTATTTCTACAAATCAGTTTATTTCATCAATATTTTTTTTATTCATCCCTCTCTTTGTTCTGGCTTTGTTTACGGCCCAGTAAACAATTTTCTCTTTATTATCTTCATCTTTTTTTTCAATATAATTAACTACATTATTTTTTGTTGCTCTTAACTTTGATGACAAAAAACACAAAGTAGAGTTGGGAGCATGATGTTCAGCAGCACTGAACATGCCCATGATTTCCTTTGCATCAATATTATGAAGCCTAGCTGTTTGTGTCTCTTTTATAAGTTGTAATGATAGATTTAAATTAAAGTATCTTTTATACTGTCTTTCTAAAACATCAATAATAGCTGATAAACAAAGTATAATCATTTGTTTAACTTCTTTGTCTTTCGTGCACACTGAAACTATTGTTTTAAAAACCTTATCGTTTTTAATACTATTTCCAAACAAATCTTTTGCATTAAATAACAACATAGGGTTGTTTTTTACATGATAAAAATTTTTTAACAACTTTTTCACTACTTTTATTCCTTCAATATGACTTAAACTTCCTGTACCTGACTGATAAAATAATGCCATCCATGGTCCTGTTAAAGTCTTACCCAATAACCCTAAGACACACATTTCTTTTTTGGCTGTTTCGTTAATAAAGTCTATTTTCAAACTACTTTTAATCCCTCCTCATGAAACTACATCGCTGCTTGAAAATTCAATTAAGGAATTATAGTGCTGTATAAATATACCACATATATGAAATAAAATATGCAATCTGTTTCCTTGGTAACGTGGAATGAGTCCTTTGGGTAATTTCATCTCATCTAAAAAGATTGTAAAACCTTTAGGATCTCCTTTGCCATTTTTGTATTGCATTTTATTCATTTGTAAAACTATATTTCCAGCCATGCAATCTTTGCTAAACAGCACTCCTTTATTTTTTTCAATTGATTTTAATGCAGATCTACATGCAGTGGCAATTGTCTCTAGAGGATGCCCATGACAATTTAATTCATTTAAAACTTTACCCCATGAAGAATTTATTAGCTGCATGATTAGCGGCAACACGGTCAGTCATAGAGTTTGAAATATTTATAATTATATTTGTCCAACTCTCTTGATAGTCACATTTATGGAAATCAAAATACAAAAGTGCAAGTTCATCAATTGAAAATACAATATGAGTTTGATAATCATTGCAGTCCCACCTGACAACTGATCTATTGCAATAACATGACACTCTATTTTGGTTGTAAAATGAACAGAGTGTATATGGATTCCTTCTTGGGTTGTTGCGTCAAACCCAAGAGTAAGATTGGATGTAGAAATAGAAACTTCAGCAGCATGAAGGTTGCTGATTATACCTAACTCACGAACAATCTCTTCAACTGTACTGCGTTGTGGAAAACTTTCTGCATTTACTAAACCAAAATGATTAAAAAATTTTTGCAATAAAATTGGAATGTTTTTAGTTGGTACCTGGTTAACAACGGCATCATATATCATCAATCGTAGTTGCCACGTATATGATTTTCTATCTTTTTTGAAAGGCAAATGATCAATGACAGAATCCTTCAACTTATCTAATTTTTCTAGCAAGTTTGCTACTTCAACTTCTAGAGTTTTTATCTGGTTATCTTTACTCAAAATCGTACTACTCAAATCATTTTGTTGTGCTTTTTTCTTAAGCTTGATTATTTTTATTTTCTTTTAAAATTCATTTTCATTTAATATTAAATTTTTAGAAGAAATTTTAGCTTTAAATATTTAAGTTTTTGCTTTAAATATCGAATGGTTAATTTTTTTCTTTTAATAGTTTGATTTAGTCTTTTTATAACATAAGGATCTGCTCTAACTCTGAGTTTTATAACATAAGGATCTGCTCTAACTCTGAGTTTTTATAACATTTTCTTTGAATTCATATCAACAGCAACCCTAAAATGAGTATTATTTACAAACTACAAATTATATTTATTTTGATATACCAATCTGATTGGAATAGCAAAATAAAGACAATTTTATCGTCACATGACATCGGAATATGCATTAAATTTTTTCAAAAAAAAAAAGATTCTACAACCAAAACTTATTTCAAAACATCTTATGTTATGTTGTAGATAATCTTGCTAGTTACACGGATTTGCATTATCCACAACGATATCCTTGCGGTCATAAAGTTAAAACCATTAATTTAATCAAATGTTTGCTTTTTTACTCTAAATCATGCGCATGTGTTGCTACATTGACTATTTTATAGCCTGACTCGCAATAGAGTACTGCTTTATCGACTGACTAATAGCCTGATATGCAAAGAAGTGCTGCTACATCGACTAAAAAGTAGTCTGACTCGCAATGGAGTCTTGCTACATTGACTGACAAGTAGCCTGACTCATAACAGAGTGCTGCTACATAGACTGACAAATAGCCTGATATGCAAAAAAGTGCTGCTACATTGACTGAGGGTTTGGTTTGGGCAGGAAGTCTATCAAATGAACCTGTGTATATTCTATTTTGTTATTATATTCCAGTTTTAGCGCAGAAGACTATGTTTCAATTATATCCATATAAGGAATTGATTTTAACAAACGTATAAAGTTTGGACCAAGTTTTAGATGTTTGATTTGATTTTCAGTAATCTCGGTATCACAAAGATTCTTTTTGTATTCTACAAAATAGAGTGCTCAATGTTCTTAAAAGAACAGAGCAATTATAAATTATAAATTAGTAGAAAATCACTTAACAAAAATTTTTTTCATTTTACACTGTGTTTCATCAACAAAGACTCATCCGAAATGAATGATCAAATTAATAAAACTTCAATTTATACCAAAAAATTAAATTACAGGAAGTCACAAATGTTTTAACTACTGTAAATTTTCTGCACTTATTGAAGGGTACCCTTCAATAACTGCAGATATTTTAAATAAAACAATCGAATTTGCAAAAAGCCACACAGTTATTCCTGAAGAAACAATCCGTATAATAAAATATTGTAGAAAAACCTTACTTTACTTTAATAAGGAAACTTGGAAAAAGAAAAACATACATGACTGCTTTGATGTGACAATAGGCAGTTATGACGGAGCAGAAATTTGTGAGTTTGTTGGACTATACATTTTAGATTTATTAAGTAAAATAATCAATATAAATGATTTAGGCCTTTATCGCGACGATGGTTTAATATTAATGCGTAAAAAATCTGGTCCACAGCTCCATAAGATTCGAAAAGATATTATAAAAATTTTTAAAAATATTGGCTTTCAAATTGAAATAAACATAAATTTAAAAATTGTGAACTTTCTTGATGTCACATTTAACCTCTCTGAAAATTCATATAAACCTTTCAAAAAACCAAACGATGAATTATTGTATATTAATATTAACTCAAATCATCCACCACAAATTCTGAAACAAATCTCGATTTCAATTAATAACAGGTTAAACTAAAACTCCTCCAATGAAAATGTATTTAATTCCTCCAAACGAATATTTGAAAATGCACTTAAAAAAAGTGGTTTTGAAAATTTCGAACTAAAATTTGACCCTGATAAAAAGAATATAAAAAACGGAACAGAACTAGAAATGTAATTTGGTTCAACCCCCCATATAGAAAAATGTTTCCACTAACATAGGAAAAGTGTTTTTAAAATTGGTCGATAAGCATTTCCATCCCTCTAATAAATTACATAAAATTTTTAATCAAAATACAATTAAAGTTAGCTACAATTGCACAAAAAATATGGAAAGAAATATAAAAAGTCACAATAATGCTTTGTTAAATAAAAAAAGAAATTCTAAATGAAAAAACTACAGAAAATTGTAATTGTAAACAAAAAAACAATTGTCCAATGAGTGGAAGTTGCTTATCAAAAAATGTGGTATGTAAATGTGTTGTCTCCTCTAAGAATGTACCTGATAATCAATATATTGGCATAACAGAAGGTGAATGGAAAAAACGTTTTGCCAATCATAAGCAATCTTTTAAAAATAAAAAGTATTCAAAAGACACTATGTTGTCAAAATATATATGGGAACTAAAAGATAAAAATATTGATGATTTTATACTGAATTGGTCCATGCTTAAAACAGCGCCTGCATACAACAATATTTCCAAAAAATGCATACTATGTCCAAAAGTAAAATTTCAAATAATTACACACGCAAACCAAGAATGTTAAACAAAAAATCGGAATTGATTTCTAAATGCAGGCACAAAAATAAGTTTCTCTTAAAAAACTATAAAAATAAGTGAGCTCAAATAATAGTTACATTAAATCCCCCCTTTTTTAAAAATATTTTTATAAAAAAAAAAAAAAAAAAAAAAAGCATAAGTAATCATTTCTAAATAATTCTTTTTATAATAGTGTCAACAAATTCCACAAATGTGTGAAAATTTACAGTAGTTAAAACATTTGCGACTTCCTGTAATTTAATTTTTTGGTACAAATTGAAGTTTTATCAATTTGATCATTCATTTCTGATGAGTCTTTGTTGATGAAACACAGTGTAAAATGGAAAAAGTTTTTGTTAAGTGATTTTTTACTAATTTATATATATATATATATATATATATATATATATATATATATATATATATATATATATATATATATATATATATATATATATATATATATATATATATTCATATATATATATTCATATATATAATACTTAACTGATTTTATTTTAGGATACAATATACTATATGTTTATATAATGAAACAGTTATTATTAATAATAATATTATATAATTATAAATTGTGAAAATATTCAAAATATTATACAAAATTTTATGTTAGTATTTTGTGGAAATGGATAATGAAGAACATAAAGATATATTGCTAAAGATTGCAAATAATCTGCTGGAAAAAGATGTTAAAGCAATTAAGTTTTATTATGCATCAAAAATTGGCTATGCTCATCTTGAAAAGATCAAAACTTCTATTGAATTAATTCAAACTTTAGAACATCGTATGGTTCTTGGGGTTGATCACTATGATGCTTTTGTTGAAGTACTTAACAAAATTGGAAGGAATGACCTGGCAAAACAATTTTCTCGTGAGTTTTATAATATTTAAATTTTTTTTATTCTATGCACAAAATCGCATGTAATTTACATATAATAAATTTAGCCACTTAATATTTCCTACCCTAACTGCTAGTATGTGTGTGTGTGAACACATATACTGCCCTTGGAGTTAGGAAAGTCTAAGGTCAACAATAAATTGCCAACTTTAAACTGTTAGAGTTCAGCATCAGGTCGAAAAAAAAAAATTAATACAAAGGGGTTACTATGTAACATAGAAATGAGGCCAATTATTTATTGCAGAACAATGAACGGTCAATGGTTTAAACTTGATGATAAAAACTATTGTTAGATAAAGTTTTTCATTAAAACAGCTAAAAGCAAAATTTTCAAATAGGTAAATTAAAGTCATAAAAAGGTTGATTATTTGCTTCAATTTGCTGATTATGAAAAAATTGTAACTACTGTTGAAGGTCTATATACAGCAACTGTAAGTTTAGGTAACATGTAAACATCAGATGTTGTACCTCATTGTGTTAATGTACTCTGTGTCTTATTGCCATATTTTAAAGCCACGAAAGTATTGATTTACTTCTAGTAATATCTAATGGCAACTTGTCTGCAATGTTACCTTAATTGTGGAAAAATCTCTGTTTAGAGATTTAATTTTAACAAATTTTCTTAAAAATGGTTAAAAAAAGTTTAATAAAATAAAATGTTTTGTAAAATAAATGTTGCCGAGTGAGGAAGTTATGTTTGGATTACTTTAACTCACAAAGTTATATTAGAAATGCGTTTAAAATTTTGGTTACATGAATTATTCCATGTCCGTTCATTCAAAAAAAAAATTGTTTTGACATCATACCAATTAGGTTAAGATTTTTAATTTTTGGTTTTGGCAGTTTTTCTTAAACATCTCTGAATCTTATTAATTTTTTTTAACAGTTTCTCTTGTGGTTATAACATTATAGGTCTTATATATTATAGGTCTTATAACATTGTAGGCTATAGGCCTCTATATATATTTTTTAAATTTTTTATTACAAATATTTTTTTTAAATGCCGAAAATTGACTGTTATCCCATGTTTAAAGGTAAAATTGATCATTCATTATTTATCATGTTAGATCAATAATACTCCTGCTTTGCGGTAACACGCACCAAAAAAACTTCTATGAACCATCTTTTGAAACATCTACTGTCAAACCAGCCAGACTTTGTTGTATCATAAATGCAGCCTGCCGTGCCACCAGTTGTCCATTGGACATAGCAGTTCTGCGCTTTATAGAATACCATTGGTGGAATAAAAGTTCCATCTGCACTGCCACAATACATGATGCTTGTTGTGGACTTGCAGGCCTTGTTTTAAATAAAAAAGTGCTTAATGCATTAGCTTAACACGATTTTGACGTCATAAAATTATCTTTATTTTTTTTTATAGGCGTTAAGTGTTTTAACTACCGGAATAAATAAATAACTGCAAACTAATTCAATTTAACAATTAACTCAAATATAAACTATAAACGTTTTAAATATAAATTTATTATGAAAATTTTGTAATGTTTTCAATTGTTATTTTATTATTAATTTAGTTCAATATTATTTAGTAAAAAAAAAATATATATATATATTAATTATTTCTGAAATTTGTTTTTGAATAATTGTTTTTAATCGTTATTGAATAAAAAATAATAATGATTTTTTTTATTTTTAAAAATTTCTAGAGTAAACAAAAAATATTAACATTGATAAACACAAACCCATGTTAATTATTTAAACAACGATTTTGTTTTGACTAGCAAAGAAAAATTTAAGTTTTTAAATATTTTTTAAATTTTTAAAAGCGTTTCAACTTGCGTTTTATAAAAATATAAAAAAGTTTTGTCTGCTTTGAAGCGTATTTTTGATACGTAGTTTAGAACGCGTTCGCTAGGAATTTAATTCATAAACTTTTTATGTTATTGTAAAAATATTTAACTTTTTAAACAAATCACAAAGAAACAAAGCTATAGAGAAAAATCGTTTTCAAGGATTAAATCTTTTTTTTTTTTAATTTTAGGAAATTAAAAAAAAAATTAGATTAAATATAAAAGTCTTAATTATGCAAACTCTTTTATTAATTTTTCTTAAAACAAAAAAACAAATACTTGTACGCCAAACTTTAATCGTGCAAACTTATAAAAATACTCAACTGAAATAATTTAAGTATATTTAATAATTTGAATCGTATCTGTTTATAATAAACGTTCGTAAAAATTTGTTTATTAAAAATTAAGTTCCTTAACTTATAAACAAACTCAAAAGTATTTTCATTCTACGTATAATTACAAAACTCTTTTTTTTTTTTTCGTTTGTAAGCAATTTAACTTAATAAAATAAAAAAAAGAATAAATATGAGGTAATCTTTGTTAAGAATAAATTTAATTTATTTATTGAACTATATTTTTATTTTTAATTATATATCAACTTAATTAAAATATAGTAACATGTTAAAATATTTTAACATGACTTGTATTATTTATAAACCGTTGGGCAGTTGCCCTTACGGCACTATTGTTTTTGGATAATATTTTATTTTGATGAAGATCACATAACTTACATTTGATTTTAATAACGTAAGTCTTCTCTTTTTCTGTGATCATCGCATCGGCAAAGTCCCAAGATTTAAAAGTTTTTAAATTAAATCTTTTGTCCTTCAAAATACAATCCATATTCGAACTTTAAATAATTTAGAGATAATAGAAATATACAAGGTTTTTATATACTAGTTTGTTTTGTTTTATAAAGAAAAATACATATTCATTAGTAAAAAATGGAGACTGTCATTAAACTAAAACGTGCCTTAGTATTTATTTAACGGAACCTGTAATGTGCGCGTGCATAATAAAACCTCCGTTATATAAATATATTCAACGTAATATTAGTGTCATCAGCGGATGTTGTAGTCTACTCATGATTTCTTTACCTTATATTATAACTTGATTTATGACAAAAAAAACTTATTGAATCGCACGCAGAAGAATTTTAACAGACATTTTTTGAGATTTTATTAAAAAAAATGTCAATTCTTAATTACAAATTTTTTTGCAAATGTTTTTTATTATAAATTCAGTAAAAAATTCATAAAAAATCTATATTACAAAAAACTTTTATATTCTGTATTAATAAATATAGAATATAGATTTTTTAAAAGTTTTTTACTAAAAACTTTACTACTTTTTATTAAAAACGTTCCAAAAAATTTGTAGTTAAGGATTGACAAACAATTTTTCATGTTGCTATTATTTGGATAAAAAGTTTAGCGTCAAATTAATTGCTATAAAAAGGAAAGATATATCGCGATGAAAAGTTACAACAATTAACTTTAAAGTAAATTCTTTTTTTTAATAAATACCTTTACATATCGTTATTTAAAAGTTAATGTGGTTTTTTTGAAAATTAATTACTTCTTTTATGTTACCGCTAATTTAAAAGTTAAAAAATGATAAAAAGTAGCTTAACCAAAACAGCTCTACGGGTACGTAAAAAGCGCTTAAGGCGTACGTAAATCGCTCTAGGTGTAACGCTTTAAAACAAGGCCTGGACTTGAATATTGTATTTTTTGCACAACATGCTTAAGATTTCTTTGAAGTATCTATTGATGTCAATGGAATTTTTCAGTTTCAAAGTTACAAGATGTGTTTCAGTCTCATTACTCAAACGTAACAGTGTCCCTACTTTCTTCGTTTCTTGACTTTATGTAGTTGCATATGCTCTTGAGCCAGGCTTTTGCTTATGTTTTGCTTATATTTCTATAAATCTCAAATTCTTCCTTGTATAAAATATTGTTGCCATATCTGAAGCAGATCTTCAAATGTTCTGTATGTTATTATCATTTTTGACAATAATAATAATTGATAATTTTTAGTTATTATAAATAATTATATTATAATGATAATTGATAATTATTAAATAATAAATCTTATTGTAATAATTGATAATTGTTATATTGAGGAAAAATGAGCTTTGAGGAAACAAAGTGTATTAAGTTGTCATTCATTCTGGATCGAATTTTTGCCAAAAATAATTCAGCAACAGAAAGTTTTTGCTCTGACTCAATACTTATTAGAGAGATTATATTATTAGAGAGATAATCTCCAGTGCGTTAAACAAAATTTCTCTAAATGTCTTCTCTTTATGATCTTCTCTTTTTAGTAATATCATGAGCCACTTTTAATTTTTTTAGATATGTTGTCCGACATCTTTAGAAACCTCTATCTGAGAAAAACAGCTTTTAAAAATGCTTACATAAAAAATATCTAAATAATATACATAAATATGCAAAAATTCACAAGCCACTGCAAGCTTTAAGCTGTTACTAAAATAAGATCAGATTGAAGTTCAGCTGCCTATTCTAAGCAACCAAAAATTGAAGACTTTTTATCAACACAATAGTATAGTGGAGGCCTTTAAAAAGGACTGGACTCTTTTGGATGTTATTTCTTATCATATTGACCAACTTTATCCTTCAGCCAATAAAGTTTTTGTTGGTGACTTTAATACTCATCACACTGAATGGCTTGGCTCTATTGTCAGTGACTCAAATGTGACAGGTGCAGGTGTTAATGCCCGTGGCTTTTGCCTTTCTCAATCTCTAACACAATAATCATTTTTCTAACTTGTTTTCTCAACTATTCCTTCAAAATTACTAGTCCTTTAAAAGTTCAATCTATTGCAGTAATGATTATTTAAAAAACTTTTTTTGAACTAATATTTTCAATCATTATTGCAATAATGTAGATTTTCCTATAGACAATTTTTAAAATTAAGAGCCATCTTAGACAGAGAAGGTTAATAAGATCAGACTTAAATTAATGACACTGTTGAAGATTTTCACTGTTAAAGTTTTATGGTTATAATCATACATGTTAGCTATTTATTTAGTTTCTGGCATGCAATATCCTTACATATTTGTATAAACTTTAGCATATATATGGTGTATTGTTTTCTAAAAGAGAAGATGATGATCAGATAAATGTTATTTATGACTCTAAAGACTAGAATGTAAAGTAATATGGCATGAATAGCATATATCATCAAAATTTGCTATGAAGGATTAAAGTGATTTGGGTATCAGCATGTAGAGACGTAGCAGCTTCAGGAGAAAATGGTAGAGGTAGAAGTAAGAAAACTTGGAGAGAGTGCCTTACATATGGTATGAACAAGCTTTAGTTTAAGAAAGAAGGTGCTCAAGATTGTTTATATTAGAGGAACAACATAAAAGAGTTTGGTTTTTTTTGGGAAATGGTTTTAAAATTTTTAAGTATTTTCTTGCTTTTAATGTTATTAATTTTGATGAAATTATTATAGAATTATTTTATTCTCAATATTTAGTAAAAACTTTAATATAAATATTCTTTCCATTAGAATATTTGAATATTATGGATTTAATATTTACCACATAATGTTAAACACTGGGATAAGAACAGGGGGCAGAGGGGCAAGAGTCTTCCCCTCCCCCCCCCCCCTTAAAATTTTTTAAAACTATTTTTTCCATTTAAATTTTGTTTCTGGCTGCCTTTAGCCCCCGTTTACTTCTGAAATTGCCGCCTTCAACATGTTTTTTTGCACACAAGTAATTTCGAAGTTATGGGTTGAGATAGGTTTGCCATATAAAAATTTTTTTTTTGAAACTAGTCAAAAAAGGATGCCCTCAGACTTAGGTATGTGAACCAAATTAAATTGAAAAAAAAAAACACAAAATTTTCTCATGAAAAAGTTAAAATCAATCAATTTTAGATGAATTAAATTTATATATTACAAAAGTGTTGTGCGGAGCTTTCTTTTTGTACTTTCAAAACTGTTTAACAAGTGCTTATCAGCGTCTTGTTTTCCTTTAATTTTCAAACACTTAATCTCTCATCTTGAATCACTCTTCTTCATTTTCTGTAACTTCAGGGGCTCCTTAAGGATCTATCCTTGGCCCTATACGTTTTTTAATTTACATTAATGATCTCCCAGAAATTCTCACATCTAAGGTGGTGTTGTTTGCTGATGATATTACCATTAATTTTGTCTTGATAAGAATTCAACACTCTCTTATTGCTTGCAGGAGACATTTGTGCTTGAAAAGGATCTTGCTTCTACTACAGCATGGAGCGTTCAGTGGCTGCTGACAATAACTAATAGCTAATACTTATTACAACAATCTAGATCTTCCTATATTTATGAACAGTAATTGATGAGTCAGCTAGCCTTCTTCATCTAGGATTAACCTATACTGGTGATGGAAAGTATATATCAAATCTGCTGCAAAATTAGCATTTGCTAAGGTTGCATCTCTTTATTCTACTTGCCATTTTATTACTCCAGGTTCTCAACCTTTTACTGTCACTATTTACAAATGTTTCAAAAAAAAAAAATTTTTTTCCTTGAATATCAGTTATTAGGAATTCGATGTTAATTGTTATTTTGCTTTATAGTTACCATAGTTACATTTTTATAAAATAATTACCTAGAAATTTTACAAAAGATTATGTTGTTTTAAGGTTTTATTAAGTTTAATGGGATTTTTTTGAAGAGTTTGTTTAATTTCTAGAGTATCTAGATGAAAACTCACCTGTTGCTGTTGATTTTGAAAACCCTGTCAATCAACCACTTACCCATAGTTGTAGCATTGCATCTCTTTTCTACAAATACTATCATGGCCAAACAGGTTTACTCCAGTTATTTGTTCTACCAATCATAACTCAAGCTTGCTTTACTCACTATTCAACAATTTTTTACTTTTTTTTGTTTCTTTAGAAACAAAGATGCTGCTTAAATTCAAACACATTTCTTTGTGTTTTAAAAACTTCCTTTCTTTTATTTATCTAGATTCTTTCTTTGTTCATCAATTCTTTGGAACTCTCTCCTACCTTAATTTTTTCCTGACTTTTAGAAAAAATTTTTAAGTCTCCTGTCAATCGTTTTCTTTCTCTTAAAAATTATTTGTTGTTTTATGGTCCAAACATATGTAGTGGTTACTTGCATATATGTTGGATGCGAGTTGATAAAAAAAATGTTTCTGAATTTAAAGTGTAATTCAAGGTGTGTGGCACTTCTATATTCTAAACGTTTAAATTGATATTTTTCAAGTTGTCTAGTTGTTAATGAGATTTTGCTCAAAAACGGTATTCTTGATTTAAAAAAATATAACATTAAATAAAACTATATTTATATATTTGATTTGAAAATAATTTGATTTTAAAATAGCATTAAATATAACTATATTTGTATATTTGATTTGAAAATATTATTTAAAAAAATCTTTATTTAGGCATTTATCTCTGTTTTTACTATTTAGTTACGTATTTATTATTTTCTTACCTTTTTCTTTGGTTTCAATTATTATTTAAATAAGTTAAGGTTTTGAACAATATTTTCGAAACCATAACTTTTTTAGGTATATTTACTTTTTTAGGTATATTTTTTAGGTATATACTTTTTTAGGTATTTTTTAGGTAGGTTTATAGTATTTATTAACTTTTTTAAGTAATAATAACTATTATAAAGATTGTTATTGTTAACTAAAAAGTTAAAAAAAAACTAATTTTAGGTATTTAGTTCTGCTTTTTCTAAGAACTTTTAGTTTCATATTTCTTATTTTCTCAGTAGTTTTTTCATAGATTTTAAGTCTATTTTGTTTAAAGCCACTTATTTAAGTAATATTAATTATAAAAAAAAAAAAAAATTAAAAAGAAATTAACTTTGTTTTACAACTTTTGTAGCATTTCCACATAAAATATTGTTAAGAAAATAATTTTTTTGCATTTGAATTCAATTCAGTTTGTTAATAAAATGTCATTTAATGTTATTTAAATAAAATTTGGTTTTTTAATGAAATTAAAAAGTTTATAATAAAATTGAATCATTTAGAAACTTTGAGTTCACCAGAAAGTTCTACCAGAACTTCTTCTAAGAAAGGTAATTATGTTTGATTTATTTAAAATTACTCAACATTTACTTCTGAAATGTTTTGTGACACAAAACATTTTAAAATAATATTTATTAAATTTTTTTTTGTTAAATGTTTTTCTCATGTTTTTTTGAATTAAAGATTTTTTTTTTGTACTTATGACTATGAAATTTAAATCCTAAAAATGTAACATTTTTAATATTTTTGTGTTATCCTTTTTTAGTTAAATATTAACTTTTTTTTATTATGCCTTACATACTTTGTTTTACTGCTTGTTCTATTTTTGTTACAAATCAATAATTTTCTTTATTTCTTTAAATGAAGAAAATGCTTTAAATGCTAAAATAGTTTCCTTTTTGATTTTTTTTGATTTGATTCAGGAATAAATAGTAGTATCATCAGTAAGTTATTAAATTCACGATGAGAGATTAAGTGTTTGTTAATTAAAGATTCAAAAACCTTGCTAATGATAGGAAGAAGACTAATGGGACGGTAGTTAGACGAGTTAGATTGCTCTCCAGAATTTTTAAAAATAGGGATAACAGATGCTGCTTTCCAGCAGGCTGGAAAACAAGACTCTGATAAGCACTTGTTAAATAGTTTTGAAAGGATAGACGACAGCTCTGAAGAACACTTTTGCAAGACTATAACAGGTATGTTGTCCGAGCCACAAACTGTAAAAGAGTCTAAGCAGGAAATCACTTTAGATACAGAGACTGAAATGATACGAATTTCAAGCAATGGATCAACCTGTTTGACGGCTATATCAGGTAGAACGCAAATAGTGGAATTAAGAGATAATATTAATGAAAAGTTCTTAGCAAACAGTTCTGCTTTGTTTTTAGGTGAGGTGACAAAGTTTGAAGCATACAAAACAGGTGGAATGACAGACTTGCCCTTTTTATTGATACTGTTAAAGATTCTCCAGAAGTCACGATAGATTAATTTTTGTAATAAGATACGAGATTTCATGACTTTAGAATAGCTGGCTTTGGCAATAGACAAAACTTTTTTACAATGGTTTCTAGCAGTAATAAACAATTGCCTGTTTTTTGGAGAACTGTTTTGCTGATAGATATGGAAGTTATGGTTTTGATTGGCAATTGCAGTAGCACAATGTGGGGAAAACCATGGAGAAGAGTGAGGCTTGACCTGGATTCATCGAGGGGGAATAAAGGATTCCATACCAGCATGAATACATAAAGTTATGTAAGAAGCACATTTGTCAACAGGAAGACAAAAGATTTCTACCCAAGGGCCAATTACGAAGAAAGTCTTGGAAAGAGTCCCAGTCAGCTTTAAGGTAGTTGTAAGATGTGCAATGATAGGGGGATTCTGATGATAAAGAAGAATTAGATAATATTTTTAGAGAGATCAAACTGTGATCAGAGGCACCTAAGGGTGAATGTAGAGTAACTGAGCACTGACTAGGATCAGAATTAAGACATAAGTCGAGTAGAGAAGGTAAGTGATTGGGGTTGTCTGGAAACCAAGTTGGAAAGTTGGCTATTTGAGTTAGAGATTGATAAATGCAAAAGTTGTGGGCTTTAATGCCTGCAATGATTAATCTGTTTAAATGTCAGGAAGAGTATAATATTCCATAATATTTAAGAGTCAAATAAGAGTAAGATTTCCTTTCCAAATAACTCTGCTTTTTTCTGGGGAGAAGTAAAAAATGATCATACCCATGAGTTAGACAATAAATGTTAGACTTTAGTTAATGGCATTGTTGAAGACAAACCAAAAGTCTCTAGAACCTTACATCTGAGATAAGATACAAGATTTAGTAACGGAGAATAACAGGGCTTAACTTCAGATGTTTTTTACAATGGTTTCTTGCAACAATAAAAGAATATTTGATGTCTTGATGTCAAAGATGTTCTTGTAAAAAAAATTTAAAAAAAGATTTATGTTTAATAAAGCAACTGCTCATGATGTTGAAAATTGTGGAGTAGAATGAGGCTTAACTTAAAAATGAAGAGAAGTAATAAAAGTTTCCAAACTTTTATTCTAGAAGGAATAAAAGCTTTCAAGATGCAAGAGATGATGATCAGATGGATGTACAGTGTGACTCTAGCAAGACTAGAAAAGGAGGCATAATCTTAGACAGATTTGAAAAATCATTGTGTTGAATAATGTTTTTTAGAAAAGATTAAAGTAATTTAGGTATCTGCATGTAGAGAGGTAGCAGCTTCAGTAGAAAATGGTAGTGGTAGAAGTAAGAAAACTTCAAGAGAGTGCCTTACATATTGTATGAATGTGCTTTAGTTAAAAAGAAATGCTCTAGGTTGTTTATATTAGAGAAACAGCATAAAAGAGGAAGGCTAAAGCCTGATGATGATTATTATAATAGTGATGATAATTATGATCATCATCATCATGATTATACTGATCATCATTATCAGGATTTCGGCTTTTATGCTATTGGGCTTTAACCTTTTATGCTGTTGATGATCATGATCATGATGATAATAATAATAATGATAATGATGATCAACATCATCATCATTATAATAATAATGATGATTATGATGATCATGTTGATCATAATATTATTTATATATGCTCATATATACAAAATATAACATAATTTTTGAATTAAAAAAATATACTTTAAGATGAATAAATGTTTATAAAACCCTGGTCACAAACCATGCCGCCAGATATAGCTATATTTTATCAAATCCAGTCCTAGCTGCGGCCCCGGTCAAATATCAACCCCGGTCACTCACAATGCCTAAGAGGCCTTCTTAATGACAGTAAGGATGCAGTATATACCTCTAATTATATGTAGTGGTTATTATAAATTTGTTGTAAAAATTGTTTTAGCTTAGGCCAGTATAATGCATTACTAAAAAATTAGATTTGGCAAAGGAAATTAGTTTCTTGACACAGGCTGTTTTGAGAATTTAAATTCTAATAGCTTATTAGAATTTAAATAAATATTTAAATACTAATAAGCTATTAGTAGTTTAAATATTTATAAAAACAATGTGGAAAAAAAAAACAGTGTTTATGTGGAAATGTTCTAACCAATTTACTTAGTTATGAACATTTATCAACAAACGAAAACTACAAAAAAATCTTGTTCTTAAACATGTAACAAAGGGTTTGCTCTATGTTACATATGTTGATCTAGTGACATGAATTTACCTTTACTGGAAAAAAGTTGAAAATTTTTTAAAAATTTTGTAACTTTTAGAAGAACATTTGACCTTACAAAGTCATATGATGGAGTTTACTTAGACAGAATCTATTAAAATCACAATGTTCTTGATGTTTATTCTTAAGCTTAAAACACAGATTTTTTTAAATTTTAAGAGGACTGTTTTCAAATAGAAAGTCAAATGACTTACTTTGTCAGAAGCAAACAACAAGTCAAATAATTGGATTTGATTTAAGGCCTGTATAGGTAATCCATGCACTACTTTGTAAATTTCATGCTTGATAATAGTGCTTGCTGGAGTTTATTCATGGACAGAGTCTAAAACAACCTTTAGTAAGTCATAGTAATGTACAACATAGTATGGAAGAAGAATTTTCTGTATTAGCAAAATAACAAGTGTATGTATAGTATAGTATGGTTTAGTATTACCAAATTGCAGGTTTTTCAGACATAATGAAATATTTAAAATGTAAGACTTCTTTTTTTAAAGAAAACAAGTTTTTCTAAACTTTTTTTTTTTTAATTTGTATTTAGACTTGACTCTCTAGATTATAGTAAAAATTGAAAAGCAAATTTTTGTATTTTTATATTCAATTTTGAGACAAATAAAACTTTTTTTTATTTAGACTTGACTGTCTAGATTAATCTAGTGTAATATTTTCAATTAAAAAATATGTACAAAATCTTTCAAATCTTTTTCTTTTACTTGTTATTTAAACTGTTGAAATGTCTTCATACTTAACCATGATAATCTTTTACATTTGATAATGATGATGATGATGTTGATGATGATGATGATGATGATGATGATGATGATGATGATGATGATGATGATGATGATGATGATGATGATGATGATGATGATGATGATGATGATGATGATGATGATGATGATGATGATGATGATGATGATGATGATGATGATGTGATGATGTACAATGATGATGATGAGTTATTGTATTTAGATATATCAGAAATATGCACAGCACTCAAAAGTTTCTATCTTACAAATTATGGGAACATAAATGAAGTTCAAGTACCACTAAGATTGCCTGCTAATGTTGATTTAATGCATAAATTTGTTGATCTATGTATTGTTGATGCAGGTAATACTCAAGTAGATGCTGTTTTTAGTGTTGAGCGAGAGGAGTTTCTAAAAAAGCAATTGCGTTATACACCAATTCCATATAATGAAATTTTTATGAAAGAAAAATCTGTAACTCTAATATCTGGAATAGCTGGTATTGGGAAAACATGGTTGCTTAGAAAATGTTTGCTTGATTGGTCAAATGGTCTAATTTGGAAAAATGTTAAACTTGTGTTTTATTTGGAATGCAGAAGGCTTAATCGATATCAAAATATTGGTAGTATTAACGAATTAATAAATTTTTTCTACAGAGATATTGTAAATGATTTTGATATTAGTATTTATTCTGCGCTGTTTATAATTGATGGATTAGATGAGTTTAAATATTTAAATGAATTAATAAATTGCAGTTCGACTAGTAACTATCCAATTGTTAATGTTTTAACAGAAATTCGAAATAATAAATATGTAGTTGCTGGTAGAGTTTATGCAATTGATCAGTATCAAAGTATATCTACTGAGGATTGTGATAAGATAAACATTCAAATTATGGGATTTAATGAAGATGGAATAAATAATTATATAGAAAATAATGTTTTAGAGGAAAAAAAAGATGTTGTGAAAGCAACTTTGAAGGAATCTGCAGTTGCAAAATCAATGTCATCTGTTCCATTTTTTTTATCTTTCATGTGTAAGATTATTAGTTGTTCAAATAATTTATACAGAAATTCTTTTTTAACAATGACAGACCTGTATGCAAATATTTTTTTACACTTTTTGCAAAAACACATTATCAAAAACAATGAATCAATTTCTCAATTTATGGAAAACAATTCCAATAAAAAATATGTTCTAAACATTTGTAAAATTGCGTACCAATTGTTTGTTGAAAATAAAGTAATTTTTTTCAAAGAAGAAATTCAAACTTTTGTCAATGAGTTTGATAAAAATGAAGAAACTTTTTTTGGATTTATTGAGAGGATTGAAACAAGTCTAGGTGAATATATTTATCAATTTGCACATTTGACAATAATGGAGTTTTGTGCATCTATATATGCATATAATTGTTTAAGTAGTGAAGAGATTATGACCAATGAAAAGCTGAAGAGTTGCTTATCAATGGTTTGTGGTTTAACCAATAAAAATCAAAATAGTTCATTAAAGTTTCTTGTTAACCTGAATCCTTTAAAAAATACTTGCAAAGATTCTTTATTTTTGTTTTCTATTATTGGTAAGTCTATAATACTTTGTTGCGTTATTGTAAGTAATTTTAGATAAAGTTTATCAATTTATCAAAATTGTATTTATTACTTTATTACAATCAACAGTTTGTAATTATTAAGTTTTTTTTAAAGCTGTTTAAATCTTTACTTCTCTAAATGATAGACTAGATATTCTTTTATATTTAGTATGTTTAACAATATTTGGCAAGACTTTAAGTGAAATTCAAAATAAATAATATTTAATTATAACATCTTGTTCAGTATATAATTATCGATAGGTAATTAAAAAAAAAAAAAACAAGTTAATTTTGACAAGTAATTTCAGAAGAAAAATTTTAAAAATTTATGATTGTTATAAATGCAAATTTAATCAATTTAAAACTTAAAATTAAAATAATTACATTTATGTGCTAAAAACTTAATGATGCATTCAAACTATGGATTTTTTTAACTTTAAATAAGTACCCAAACAAAGTTTTATGTATTAAACGTTTCTCCGTGTAAATTAAATTTTTTTTAACTTTTTAATATCGAGTTAGACCATCTTTAGCGTTTAAGACTTCTGCAAGTCGATTTAGCATTGGCTTAACTAATTTATTTGTCACATCTGCATTGATTTAAGTCCAAGCTTCTAGGAGCATGCATAATTTAAATGCATCATTAAGTTTTTAGCACATAAATGTAATTATTTTATGGGTAATTCTGGATCAAAAAAGTAGGCAACTTCAAAAAAGAACAAAGATCATGATCTTTGTTCTTCAAAATCAAGAGAAAAAATTTACAAAAAGATAAACAGAATTTCGAACTAAGAAAAAAAAAAGAACTTTTACGTAAAACAATAAAATAACATAAAAAAGAAAGAAAAAAAAAAGTTAACAAATAAAAAGAAACAAAAAAAGGAAAAATAAAGAAATTTACAATTGAAGAATAAAAGATTGGTTGTTTTATGCTTTTTTTTTAACGATATAATTTGTAATATTTAAGTTTGTAACAGATTTAATTTAATTTAATTTTGTAGAAGTATTTGTGTTTGCCTTTTTGTTTTTTATTTTTTGGGTTTCATCTTCTAGTTTTTGTATTTTGCTTTTTCGTTTGTGTAAGGTTTGTTTTTTATTTGTTCTGCTAATTATTTTTATTTTTGTATACTGTTTTTATTGAGTGTTTTCATATTTTTTGTCTTATTATTTAACTTATTTTAGCTTTATCATTGATATTATTATTTTATTTATTTTCTTAGCGATTTTCGTTTCATATTTGTTATTTTCATTATTATTTTATTATTATACTACTTGTTATAATTAATTGGTGTCACTCATTTTGATCATGAGTGACACTCATGTCATCATATTATTTGTATTATTATAGATAATATTATTATTTTTAATTATTATTCTTATAATTATTTGGTGTCACTCCTTTGATCAGGCTTCTGTTTGAGTGACACCTTCCTTTTCTAGTAATTATTTATATTTATTTTTATTAGTTATATTTTATTATAATTATATTGTTTGTATTATTATAGATATTATTATTATTATTGTAATTATATGATTATATGTAAATTTGAAAAGGAAAATAAATATCTAGTTGTTGTTGTTGTTAGTGTTTTTGTCTAGTATATGCAAATTCAAATATTTTGTACTTTTTTATCAGATTAATGATGGTTCCTTATGCTGTTTCAGTTGTTTTTTTTTTTTCATCAACCTAAATTACCTTGTCATTTAAAACTGATTAAATTTGTTTTCAGAGCATTATAACATTTATCAAAATCTTTTTTTCATCTTCTGAGAAATTAAAGTTTATTTTCACAATAGCATTTTTTGTTAGGGTATTTGTTTCTTTTAAATATTAGGTCAAGTAAAACTGACACTTTTTATATCTTGAAGTATAAAAAATTGGAACGAGCTACAAAGTTAATTTTTTTTTATTGAATGCTTATTAAGTCTAAAACAAAAATACATAAAGAGAAACAAACCTTTCAGTACAATAAAATTTTTAAATTTTGCTCTTACTGGGAGTCATAAGATTTTGCACTAGGTGAGATCCATACTTGGTGATCATTACTTAATTTTGCCTGAATTTCTTACATAATTTGGCTTTAATAATTACCTAATATTGCCTAATTGGATGAAGTTCAGAACAATTTGCAAATTATGCGTTCTAGATATGAGATTGATACTATTAGCATTGCAGAAGTTTAAAATAGATTCGGAATAATGACAAGATGCTAAGTCAGGCAAAAGATTAACCTGTGGTGGTTATAAAAAACATTCACTGTAGCATGTTTTTTTTTTTTGTTGTTCAACGTATTGTGAAGTGTTTAAGTTAGAATAAACTAGCGTAATAAAATTCAAAATACCGTTTTTAAAATGATCTAATATACAATATCGGGCAAAACAAGTGCAATAAAATAATGCTAATTTAGTTTCTTTATATAAAAGTGCTGCATTTTTTTAATTTAGAGAAATAACTATGTAACTGTTTAGATACAACGTTCTTCAAGTTTTATTCATCACAAAGTTCATTATTTGTACAGGAAAATTAAAAGGTTAATCAAAAGTTTTAAAAAAAGTTGATTTCCTTCTAGACAAAACAAGTGCAACTCCACAAAATGTTGACCAAGCTGTATTTCGCTATCAATATTTTGTGGTGAATTTTTTTTTTGTCGATCACAGTCTTGCATCTTCGAGGCATAACCACCGATAGGTGGTTGTCTTGAAACCACTGCTTGACTTCTTTTGCAGTGTGTTTCAGATCATTGTCTTGTTGAAAAACTCATTTTGTTGGCATATTCCATTCAGCATGAGGTAACATAACATCTTTCAGGATATTTTTATACATCTAGGTCCAATACATCGATTCGATGTATTGGACCTAGACCGTTAGCAGAAAAACACCCCCAGATCAACACATTGCCTCCACCATGCTTCACGGTCTTATGGCAGTAACGTAAATTGAGGGGTTTTCTGGCCGGTCAACATACTCAGCAAATGTCATCGCTCCAAATGATGTTGAACTTCGATTCATTACTGAACAGGACAGTTTGCCGTTTCTGCACATTCCAGTTAATATGGATGTAGCTAACAGGAGTCTTTTCTTCTGGTTCTTTAGTGAAATCAGCGGTTTCTTTGCAGGGTGTCGAAAAAAGAATCCGGCTTCAACAGCGCGTCGTCTGATTGTTCAGTCCGATACAGGCAGCTCTAATTGCTTTTGTATCTCAACTGATGATATCCAGGGATCCTTCTTGACGGATCTGACGATCATAGAATCCTCTCTAGAAGTGGTGGAACGAAGTCTTTCTCCTTTGTTATTTGCTGCCAACTTCCCCGTAGAAAGATATTTGGAACATAGTCTTAATACGGTGCATTTTTTCACGCGATATTTATCACAAATACTTTTTTGTGACATTCCACTTACATAATTGCCAAGTTCCAATCCAAGACTGTATTAGTTCCAATCCAAGACTATCGGGAGCCATTTTTGCACTTGAAGTCATAAAAATAATAAAAATAAATAATCACGCTTCTCAAGAATTACCATGTAACATTTACCTTGTAATGATACAATAATGCTCTGTGGAACACAGCGTCTTGGTTGGATGTGGACTGTATTGATGTAATGAAACACTTGTTGTATTTCACTTCTTGTATTTATGTTCTTCGATATAACACTTTGATAAGATTCACTTCGATAAACTGTCTTGATAATACTGACTGATTGACTTCCATATACTGACTGAATTACATGTCCGTTTAGATGTCTCTTATATAGTAAAATGAACCTGTGTGAACCTGTTCTGGAAGATTCTACATGCTTCTTTTTAATGCTTCTGGAAACTTCTGGATGCGTCTGGATGCTTCTGAATGTTTCAGGATACTTCTGGATGCTTCTCCTGGAATCCTCTGGAAGCTTCTGTATGCTTTGGGAAACTTCTGGAAACTTCTGTATACTTCCTTTAATTATTAAAAAATTTCTGTGACGTTGACACGGACCAGACTTAAGAAAATGAAACGAACCAAAAAAGTATTACTTGTTTTTTCTGCTGGAAAATGGCACTTGTCAAAGAAATTCTGCCTGTGTGCTGCCACCTCTCAGCTGATTGCTCATGTCATGGAATGCTATGACTCCAGACTCCTGAACTTTTTGTTGTGGTAGTATAGTTTGTTTCGTTTTTAAGACATGTAAAATTAGAAATATAGGCTTTTTCATGGTGAAAACATATCTCCTTATTTAGTTCAAAAGTGTGTCCGATTCTTTGAATTAAAACTTCAGCATCTGTGTACAATATCTTTTAGTTTTATTCTTCTAATCATTCTAAAATAATTCGTTTTGTCACAATCTTCATTTAAAACTTTCCCCACACAACATTTCTCTGTCATTTTTTACTATTTTTTTATTTTTAATACTAATTTAAAAAGTTTAAAAAAGACAGAAACATATTAAATCTCAAAGAAACTAACAAATATCAGACACTGATTATGTCATTATTATTAGTACAAATTAGGACATTATGTCATTAAAAAGAAAACTGAATATATTCATTCACAGATAAAAAAATATATATATATATACTCTGTCATCCCTATGACTAATTAATAGACTATGACCTAAGGCTACCTCATAGTCTAATAACATTCTTCTTTTAAAAATATCATCACTCTCAAAAGTTTACAGTCATGTCATAAGATAGAGTATAGGTCTTTAAATTTTTTTTGGTGATTGTCTATATATAGAGTCTCAACATTAAAAAGTTTCATAATGTATTTCAACTGTTGACGCTACTTTCTATGCTACCAAAGTCAATGTAATTTATCATAATTTTCAAAAAAAGTGATTTTTCAATAGGCTGCTGCATGTGATAAATTAATTTTTAATGCATAATTTTGATTATTCTAACAAGTGGTGACCCTAAGTACAAAAAAGTAACAAAAAAATCCACTTGTAAGTTAGTATGAAACTGTAACACGTTAAAGTTCGAAAAAATATTCATAATGTTGCAATATTTAGC